CAATCAATTACATATAGACAATTATTTAAAAAAGTTTGGAACTAAAATCAATTACAAATAGACAATTATTAGGTCCTGATCATAATTCACTAAATTGTTTAGAATATTTCCAAAAATCATTTACAACTGGCCAGAACAGTGAGTTAGTTACAATATATGTTTGTAAGAATATGAAAACTGCATTATTAGGTAAACCTGCTTAACTATAGTTTAACCTAGTCAGAATAGACCTTCCTGAAGAATTTATTAAATGATTAAAAAAACCAAAAAAAACGTGTTAGAACAGTTTCCTTTAGTATTTAATGGGTTAGGAACAATTAAAGGTGACCCTGTACATATTGAGGTATGTGTAAATGTAACACCATACCATATTGGAGCACCTCAGAAGTAGCATTCCCACATCTAGAACCATTAAAGTTGGAATTGGAAAGTATGAAAGAGATAGGTGTTATCAAGGTAGTAGATCAACCTTCTGACTGGTCTCATCCAATTGTAGTTGTGAAAAAACCTAATGGGCAACTTTGTATGAGTATCGATTTGACACAACTAAATAAAGATACAAAACGAGAATTCTATGAATTAAAAAGTGTAAATAACACATTGGCCCTATTAGGAAAGGGGTGTAAACATATGGCTAAATTAGACGCTAACTCAGGATATTGGCCCATGAGTTTGGAAAGTTGGTTAAAGTGTAATTTTACCACACCTTTTGGTCGTTTTTGTCCAACTTGGGTTAACGTCACTTCCAGAAATCTTTAGCAAAAAAATGAATCAAATAGTTGTAAAAAGTATGAATGACTTTTTAATTTTTAGAAATACAGAATAGTTTTAATGAGTTCAATGAAAACCTAGTTGTATTGCTAAGAAAATTTGTGAGTAATACAACTACAACCCTTAATTTAGAAAAGGGCGTATTTATTTAAAAGGAAGTGGGATTTTTAGGACATAAAATTTCAGCAGAGGGTGAGAAACCACTGAGCAAAAAAGTTAAAGCAATACAAAATTTCCAGAGGCCAACAAAAATTACAGATTTGCGTAGTTTCCTAGGTATGGCTCAATAGCTATCAAAATTTAATCCATTACTCGCTAAACTAGCTCAACCTTTGCAAGATCTTTTAAGTTCAAAATCAGCATGGGTATAGACAGAAAGTCATACTAAAGCATTCAATGAGATAAAAAAAGTTTGACAAATCCAGCAATTTTAGCACATTATGATGTGACGAAACTAATAAAATTGAGAACAGATGGAAGTTTATTAAACAGACAGTGTAGTTGTTTATTAAAATCACAATAAGGTATACAAACCAATTGATTGTGCATCTAGATTTTTGACAACAACGGAAAAAAATTATTATCCAATCAAAGTAGAAATGCTAGCTGTAACTTGAGGGTGCACGCAGATGTCAAAGTATTTGTATGGGCTACCAAATTTTATTTTAGAAACAGATCACAAACCTTTAATTTCTATATTAAATTGTTGTTCGCTTACCAAAATGTTGCCAAGAATTCATTGGTTAAAAATGAAATTGTTAAGTTTTTCATTTACTGCAGAGCATGTTGTGGACAAGTCAATTACAGATGCTGATGAAATGTCTTGCACATAACTATATACATGACATAATTAATTATGTGAAAGACATAAAATATAATAATTCAATAGTTAAAACTAGGCCGGCAACAGAGTTGATTAAAAGAAAACTGAACAAGATGAACTTTTAAAATAACTGCAAGATAGCATAGTTTCTGGATGGCCGAATTCAAAAAAATATTGTACAAAAAATCTTCAGTCTTCATTTGAATTTTAAAGATGAAATAGTTAAAATTGACTCTTGATCCATAAAAACCGAATAATAATCCAAGTTAGTATGCAAAAAGAAATACTTTCAAAATTGCATGAAGGTCACTTAGTAATAGAAAAGTGCAAACATTGTGCACATCAGGCAGTTTTCTGGCCAGGTTTAAACAACCAAATTGAGCGTTAATCAAAAAGTGCAAAGCAGGCATGAGACATTTCCATCAAAACCAAAGGAACCCCTGTTAATTTATAACATTCCAATGCAACCTTAGCAAAAGTTTGGAACGAATTTATTTCACTAGGCTAATAAAAACTACTTAATAATTGTTGATTATTATAGATTGTGGCCAGAAGTTTTTCTGCTTTTAAGTACCAATTTGATAAATGTAATACTAGCATGCAAAAAATCGTTTTCTAGAAATAGTATCCCGAAGGAATTGGTTTCAGATAATAATAGACAATATACTTCAAAATTGTTTCATCAAGTTTCTCAACAGTGGCAATTTAGGCACATAACAAGTAGTCCGCACTTAAGATCAAATGGCTTAGCTGAATCCACTGTTAAATCAGTTAAACTTATGATAAAAAAGTTCCACCCGTTAAACATAGAAATTATTATAATATTGTGCAAAATTCCAATAAAATGTGGATTATCTCCAGTAGAACTACTACATGGACAACAACTAAGAAATAATCTACCTAGATTTTAAAATCAAAATAAAAAACCATATAAAAGATCATAAGACATCGTTAAAGAAAAAATTCAATCAAAAAACCATGATAAAAATAGTCGTACTTAAGTACCATACCTTTTCAAGCAAGGTCAAAACTTGTCAATTCATGACAAAATAACTCTCGAATGGAGTTTTAGAGGTAAAATAATAAAGTGCATTGCCCTTAGGTTATATGAAGTCAAATTAAATCACAACGTATATGTTGTGATTTAATTTGACTTCATATAATCTCCGTCAAAATCAAATTCATCTTAAAAGATTGTATACTCTATTTGCTCCACAAAGGACTTGAGATAATGTGGAGATGACAGGATTTTTTTTTTTGAAAAGTGGTCATTTGGCACAGTTTATCAAATTGAATTTCAATTCTTTACTTAGTAAAATAATTCCATGTCGTCTTTTTAATGACTTCTTTGTTGTACCAGGCAGTTTAAGTTATAACAAAATGTTATCTGTGCCAAAAAATGCCTCGTTAAAAAGAAAGGCTGTTCAAAATACTGAACTCAAACGTAAAGTTATTAGTAAGAGTAGATCAAGAAATGTTGTTTTACTAATATGTCATGATTGTGTGTATTGAATAAATTCTGTTTGTTTTCTCTATTTAAAATTTTTTTTATTGTCAGTTGCATTACATCTCGAATGCAATTTATTGAAAATCATTAGTTATGCAATACATTATATGGTAAATATATTTCATCGTATTTCAACATTTTTTCATGTTGAATGTAATTTATTCAATAACATTTTGTTAAATTTTATTTAATTTTAGATATTTTTCAACCGCAATTTAATTTTCATTCTTTTTTACATTTTATTTAAATCCTAATTCAAACATTCAAATTTTGCAAATTTGAATGTTTCAATTATGATGTTAGAAGCATGGTGTTTTATAAAAATTTTAATTAATTTTATTTTGATAGTTATAATAAAAGTTAAGTTCATTTTTTCTATTTCAAAGGATTTTAAAATCGAAGATTTTAAAATAAACTTAACTTAAATGTAATTTTGAGATAAATCCGCTCTTTCATTTGTTCAAAGATTTGCTATCAATAACTTTTTAAAAAAAGGAAAATTCAGGTAAGCATCAAATAACAATTTCTGGTAATTTTTAAATTAAGTTCATTATTAGTTATTATTTATAAAATAAGGTAGTTTTATTTGATAAAAATTTTTTCTTTGCATTCTTTTTGTTGTTCTTAAAGGTTTCAAGATCAGATGCACGATTTACTGAAGATGATATCCAACTTATAAAAGCATCAAAAACGCGTAAAATGCTTGTGATGGATTTTATATCTTATTATATATTTTATATATCTTTCTATTTGGTTTTTTCTCAATGTTGATAACGCTTTTGATTAAATTTATTTTTAACCATTTTATGTTTTATTTTCTTTTATCTTTTTATTTTTTGGTGTCAAACAAAGAATACACGAATTAATTGCAATATGCTAGAAATTTGGAAAGAATGTAAAAATCAAACTAGTTTCACTCTAAATTATTGTATATAATTTTAAAATTTTAAAATAAAAGTATTTCGAAGTTAATTTTTTTTAGTCTTTTAATTTCTCTATTCAATTAGTTGCCTGGACTAATATAATTGCTATGTATGACCTTAATAAAAAAAAGGAAAAAAGAACATCACAGTGTGATGTTATACAGTGTAACATAGTGCTTTATTGCTCTCTGCAGTGTAGAAAAAAACATTGTGAAAATGTTAGAAATACGTTAGTGATCATTTTTCTTACAACATTTGGTCAATGTCATCAAATAATGATAGCTTTTATTTCTGCCATTATTCCAACGTCTAAATAATGATAGACAATGTCTCAACGCCATTTTGCTCAAAAAACAATGTTTACTTAACGTCTATATAATGTCTTTTTTCTTAATATTTAATGTTGCTCCAACGTCTTTCCAACATCATTTAGCTCAAATGTCATGCAGTGACATTTGAGCTAAATCATTTTTACACTGTTGCAATAAGGTTAGCAAAATGATGTTTTTCTGCTGTTTCATTTATAACATTATTCCAACGTCTTTCCAGCAATACAGAAGACGTTGAAACAATACAGGTACAGAATAATACAACAACAACAAACAACAATGATACAGAAGAAATTGAAACACTGTTCCAACATAATTTTTCTTATTGGGTACTGTATAATTAACTATTGCAATTAACTGATAAAGGTAATTTAAATAAAAATAATCATAAATAATCATAAATAAAAATAATAATAATGATAAGACTAATAGTAATATTAAAAATAGCATAATAAAAGGAATAATCATAATAATAACAATGAAAATAATAGGATAAAATAGATAATAGGATAAAATAATAGGAAAAAAACAAATGATGTAAATAATATGCCTCTTTAAAGCAATGTTGTTAAAAATATGGTTTAAAAATATAAATGTCTGTAAACCACATTTTTTTTATTAACAAAAAAGTAAAGAAATATACTAACTTTTGCAAAATACTTGATGCAGTAACCCATAATTTTTACTCTAGTGTCGATCATTGCATAAGTTTTTAACAATTTAGAGTTAGCAATTGCTAAGCAGTTGTATAAACTAATGTCGCCTTGAATATTGCTGTTTCTTACACAAAATTTAACAATTGGAACTTTGGCAGACTTTACAGAATCTACTTTATAGAATATAGAAGATTTTAAACTTTTTCTCAACTTTTTTTCTATCTGACTAATAGTGCGTTGATAGTCAAAATCTTTTGGTGGAGTATCAGTTTCAAAGCATAGACTTATGTCCAAATCAGAATTTTGAAAACCAAAACCATTCACACAAGAACCAAACAATAAAAGACGGCAACTATCTAATAACAGATAATAATTTAATGCCACAAATCAAATATAAACATGAATATATATATATATATATATATATATATATATATATATATATATATATATATATATATATATATATATATATATATATCTGTACCCCAGTGGTCAACTATCGTAACTGCAAAATTGCTGATATTCAGTTTTTTATCTTAACTGTCTTGTTTTAGATGTAAAGTAAATAATACCAATTTTAAATATCAAAATAATATCAAATATCAATTTTAAAAATAAAAAAAAGCCGTTTCTTAACAGAAAAACAAGTGTAGTAACTTCATTTGGCTCTCCTGTAAAATTTGTCAAATGTGTGTTACAATAGTTGACCTCAGAGGTACACATATATATATATATATATATATATATATATATATATATATATATATATATATATATATATATATATATATATATATATATATATATATATATATATATATATATATATATATATATATATATATATATATTTATATATATATATATATATATATATATATATATATATATATATATATATATATATATATATATATATATATATATATATATATATATATATATAAAATAAATAACCATTAAAAATCTTCTTAAGATGATTCTCAGTTTTCTTCAAGATCATCAATCGAAAATCAAGTTCTTTTTCAGTCATTTCACAAGTTGTCATCACTTCTACACAAACTTGATTAAGAATATTTATATTAGCTTTATTCAAAGGTTGCAAAGGTTTTACTATCAATTTCTCAACTTTACAAGAAGTGTGACCATGACCATCTGATTTACACGAAGAGCAAAACTTTGGAAATGGAGTTTTTGGGGAAAAACTTGTGGTATGAAAGTGGAAAGATCTAACGCATGAAATTTCCTTTGTAACATTATCTAACAATTCCTTTAAAAGCTTGTTTATAGCAAAATGTATGACTTGTTCCTCATTAAGCTTTTCTTCTAAATCATGATGACCATTATCAAGTTCATTTTCACCAACGTTTTCTTTCAGCTCTGTATTCTCTTTCATAAAATGTGATTCAACTCTATCTGTTATTTAAAAATATCTCATAATAGAAATTAAAATAAAAGTCATATAAAAGTAAAAAGAAAAAAAAATTAACAAAACTACTTGCTTTTGAAAGAAATGCAGTACTTGTATGTTATTTCCATACATTTTGTAAGATAGTTCATCACTAAAATGAAAAGTTATAACTTCATATAATAATAAAATATTTATTAAAACAAAGAGAACATATTTAGTCAATTTTTAATTACTTTAATCATTTTGTACTTTACATTGGTTTCTTCTTTTTACTTTATTTCAAAATGAAAACAAAACTTGACTAAAAATAAAAGCAAGAACAAAAGACAAAAGTAAAAATCTGAAGCCCAAACAAACTTTTAGCTTTTTAGTTTTTGGTCAAAAAAATAAATATTAAAAACTAAAACTATTTCTTTTATAGTAGTCTTTTTTTATTGAAAAATTTTTTTAATTTATTTTTATTTATTTGGTACAGGTTTTTGTACCTTAAAATGTATGCGTACCTTTAAATGTCGGTAATTGAATTTTGGTCTCATATTTTCAAATCAATTGGAAAAAGGTTTATATTATACAAGGAAGTAACCAAGGCATAAAATAATATAATTTAAACTGGGGTAAAGTGAACTGTTTTTGATATTTCAAGGAAAAATTTTTTCAAAATAAAAGCCTAACATTTATGTCCATTCAATGTTAAGTTAAATGTTAAATTAAATTATGATCTTCAATGTTAAATTAAATTAAGAATTAAACCAAATAAAAATAAAACCAAATAAAAACCAAAAATATCTATATAAATGATCAGTAGTACAAGGGCTATTGTTACTTGTTACTATAGTTACAGCTTAAATTTAAGATTTAAATCGTATTGCTATTCTAGTTATCATCGAAAACACTAGATCTACATTTTAAGGTTCACATTGGTTTTCTAAAACCAATAAAATATAATCTTTATTGCTAATTTAAATTTTACAACTTATCAAATAACAAACAAATTTTGAATTAACAAATAAATTTTTTTTCAGCTACTGCTTCTAAGACCTTTTTCCCCTCCATTGATCCATGTTGTTGTGTTACTTTTATGTTTTTTTTATTGTTTTTTGGGGTAACCTTTGAATATGGTAGCAAAAACGGAACATCTTCAAGAGGTAATGGAGATTCAGTAAGATCATGGATAACTCTATATGCATTTTCAAGTTTTTTTCTGTAATATTTACAAGAACCTGTTCTCACATTGCAAGGAGATAAAACAATTGGGATTTTTTGTACAGAGCATCACTTTGGGGTCTGAGAAGACTGAATAGTTGCTATACATCTTGCTGCTTGTTCAAATTTATCTTTTTGCATCCAGTTAACATTTAGACCTGTCTCTGCAATAACAACTGCTTTAGCTGCTTTGATTAAAAATTCTTTTGTTGTCCATGATGACCGTATCTCTCCTAACATTTCCATAAACCCAGAATGATCAATTGTCATCATACTAGAAAACAGTTTAAATTTACATTGACAATAATGATGGTGTAAACTATGATTTACTTGATCCAAAATTTGTGTTACACCTGTTGTGTCTGGCAGACCAACAAAAAGACAAATTTTTTTTCACGACAATAATGAAAGATGCTTACTTCAAACCTTGAAGAGTGACCATCTGTTAGTACCACCACATTTTTCTCTGTTAACTTGCTATCAAAGAATTTATAGAAATCAAGTAGAGAATTGTGATCAGGACTCCATGTTCTGTAGTTGATATAAGCAAATTTGGAATCTTTTCCACACCTTCCTACATTAAAACCTACATTATGAAATACAGCTGAAAATTTGAATGTTATTTATACAATCTAATTACTTGTATTTAACATAAAATAATTAAGAAATTATAACACAAACTTTCAACAGAAATAAAAAGGTTGTTCCAAAGTTATTGCCATAAAATAAAACCTACATTTTAAGGTTCACATGGTAAAATAGGTCTTATTTTGTGGAACTATTGCTGACTCATTAAAGAGTGTAAGTGCAACAAGTACCCCAAGGGAATTTAAATGACTATAAGGTATGTCCATTATTTGAAGATTAGCTTTCAGCTATTGTAACAAAACTTTTTATGGCTATTCAAAAAATCACCTACATTTTAAGGTACAAATACCTGTATTTCACTTTTTTCTTTTAGTTTCTTTAAATTTCTTTATCTACTCTTTAGATTTAATATTTGATCTCATAAAAAGTATCTAGTTTTTTATTTTTTACTTTTTAGATAACTTGATTAGTTTTAAAAATATACACTTACAGAACCATGCAAAAGTTTAGAAACACTAACTTTTTTTAATTTTTACGACACAACATTTCACAAAACTTTCTTAAATAAGCAAATGTGCTCTATATTATTTCAATTTAAAATACAAACAACTAAAATTGTAAATTGAAAGGTTAAATAACTTTTAATTGTTTTTTTTGAAAAAACTTCCATGCAAAAGTTTAGAAACAGTATCATACCTCATAAAATGACTCACAAATGGATCAAGACAAGACAACAAAAAAATGTTTTTTCATCTTTTTTCATCTAGTATAGGTATATTTTTCAACGAGTAAGTGAAATTTTTATTTATAGGGAATGTTAAAATTATAAATGCTCAATACATGTTAATAAGGAGCCTAATATGTTAATAAGGAGCCTAAGAACATTGAGTGCTCAATGTTCTTAAAAGAACAGAGTAATTATAAATTAGTAGAAAATCACATTGATTGAATCAATTGAGATTGGACATGTAATCAAAATTAAATTGGACAAAATTAATAATATTCTTAAAAATAAATTAAATTTGCAACAGTGGAAAAATACCACTGATGTTATAAATTGGTTCTCCATAATCGAAAATAAAGATGACTTACATTTATTCAATTTTACATTAATGATTTTTACCCTTCAATAACTGCAGATATTTTAAAAACATTGAATTTGCGAAAAGCCACACAGTTATTCCTGAAGAAACAATTCGTATAATAAAACATTGCAGAAAAACCTTACTTTACTTTTATTAAGGAAACTTGGAAAAAAAAAACATACACAACTGATGTAACAATGGGCAGTTATGACGGAGCAGAAATTTGTGAGTTTGTTGGACTATACATTTTAGATTTATCAAGTAAAATAATCAATATAAATGATTTAGGCCTTTATCGCAACGATGGTTTAATAGAAATGCGTAAAAAATCTGGTCCACAGCTCGATAAGATTCGAAAAGATATAAAAAATTTTTAAAATATTGGTTTTCAAATCGAAATAAACATAAATTTAAAAATTGTGAACTTTCTTGATGTCACATTAATCCCTCTCTGAAAATTCATAAAAGCCTTTCAAAAAACCAAACAATGAATTATCGTATATTAATATAAACTCAAATCATCCACCACAAATTCTAAAACAAATCCTGATTTCAATTAATAACAGGTTAAACTAAAACTCCTCTAATGAAAATGTATTTAATTCCTCCAAACGAATATTTGAAGATGCCCTTAAAGAAAGTGGTTTTGATAGTTGCACAAAAAATATGGAAAGAATTAAAAAAAGTCACAATAATGCTTTGTTAAATAAGAAAGAAATCTTAAATAAAAAAACTACAGAAAATTGTAATTGTAAACAAAAAAACAATACTCCAATGAGTGGAAGTTGTTTATCAAAAAATGTGCTATATAAATGTGTTGTTTCCTCTAAGAATGTACCCGATAAACAATATATTGGCATAACAGAGGGTGAATGGAAAAAATGTTTTGCCAATCATAAGCAATCCTTTAAAAATAAAAAGTATTCAAAAGACACCATGCTGTCAAAATATATATGGGAATTAAAAGATAAAAAAATTGATGATTTTATACTGAATTGGTCCATCCTTAAAACAGCACCTGCATACAACAATATTTCCAAAAAATGCATAATATGTCTACAAGAAAAATTTCAAATAATTACACATGCAAACCAAGAATCTTTTTTTAACAAAAAATTGGAATTGATTTCTAAATGCAGGCACGAAAATAAGTTTCTCCTAAAAAACTAAAAATATAAGTGAGCTCAAATAAAAGTTACATTAAACCCGACCATTTTTATTAATATTTTTATTAAAAAAAGCATAAGTAATCCTTTCTAAAGAACTCTTTTTATAATAGTGTCAGCAAATTTCACAAATGTGTGAAAACTTACAGAAGTTAAAACATTTGTGACTTCCTGTAATTTAATTTTTTGGTATAAATTTAAGTTTTATTAATTTGATCCTTCATTTCTGATGAGTCCTTTGTTGATGAAACACAGTGTAAAATGAAATATAAAATTTGTTAAGTGATTTTCTACTAATTTATATATATATATATATATATATATATATATATATAATATATATATATATATATATATATATATATATATTTATACATATATTTATATATATATATATATATATATATATATATATATAAATATATATATATATATATATTTATACATATATATATATATATATATATATATATATACATATATATATATATATATATATATATATATATATATATATATATATATATAATATATATATATATATATATATTTATTGATAAATGTTGCATACTGCTGGAAATACAACTCTTGTCTGTTGTTATATATATATATACATATATATATATATATATATATATATATATATATATATATATATATATATATATATATATATATATATATTATATATATATATATATATATATATATATATATATATACACATATATATATATATATTATATATATATATATATATATATATATATATATATATATATATTATATATATATATAAATATATATATATATATATATATATTTATACATATATATATACATACATATATATATATATATATATATATATAATATATATATATATATATATATATATATATATATATATATATATATATATTTATACATATATATATATATATATATATATTTATACATATATATATATATATATATATATATATATATATATATATATATATATATATATATATATATATATATATTTATTGATAAATGTTGCATACTGCTGGAAATACAACTCTTGTCTGTTGTTATATATATATATATATATATATATATATATATATATATATATATATATATATATATATATATATATATATATATATATATATATATACATACATATATATATATATATATATATATATATATATTATATATTATATATATATATATATATATATATATAGATATATATATATATATATTACCAGAAAAACACCCCCAGACCATTACATTGCCTCAACCATGCTTCACAGTCTTATGGCAGTAACATAAATTGAGGCGTTTTATGGCCGGTCGACATACACACCAAATACCATTGCTCCTAATGATGTTGAACTTCGATTCATCACTGAACAGGTCAGTTTGCCATTTCTGCACATTCCAGTCAATATGAGATGTAGCGAACAAGAGTTTTTTCTTCTGGTTCTTTAGTGAAATCAGCGGTTTCTTTCCAGGACGTCAAGAAAATAATTCGGTTTCAACAACACGTCGTCTGATTGTTCGGTCCGATACAGGCAGCTCTAATTGCTTTTGTAAATTAACTGATGATATCCAGGGATCCTTCTTGATGAATCTGACGATCATAGAACCCTTTCTAAAAGTGGTGGAACCCAGTCTTCCACCAATGTTATCTGCTGCCATCTTCCCCGTAGAAAGATAATTGGAACATAGTCTTGATACGGTCCATTTTTTCACACGATATTTATCACAAATACTTTTTTGTGACATTCCACTTATGTAATCGCCAATAATTTTCTTTGTTAGTACCAATCCAAGACTGTCAAGAGCCATTTTTGCACTTAAAGTCATTGAAGTCATAAAAATAATAAAAATAAATAATCACGCTTCTCAAGGTTTACCGTGTTACATTTACCTTGTGATGATACAATAATGCTCTGTGGAACACAATTTGTTTGATGTGGACTGTATTGATGTAATGAAACACTTGTTGTATTTCAATTCTTGTATTGATGTTTTTTGATAAAACACATTGATAAAACTCACTTTGATAAACTGTCTTGATAATACTGACTGATTGACTTCCATATACTGACTGAACTACATGTCGGTTTACATGTCTCTTATATAGTAAAATAAACCTGTGTGAACCTGTTTTGGAAGATTCTAGATGCTTCTTTTCGATGCTTTTGGAAGCTTCTGGATGCGTCTGGATGCTTCTGAATATTTCTGGATACTTGTGGATGCTTCTGGATGCTTCTTCTGGAAACTTCTGGAAGTTTCTGCATGCTTCTGGAAAATTCTGGATACTTCCTTAAATTATTAAAAAACTTCCGTAACATTGACACGGACCAGACTTAAGAAAATGAAACAAACCAAAAAAGATGCACTTGTTTTGTCTGCTGCAAAATATCACTTGTCAACGAAATTCTGCCTATGTGCTGTCACCTGTCAGCTGATTGCTCATGTCATGGCATGTTATGACTTCAAACTCCTGAACTGTTTGCTGATATAATAAATAGTTCAGCAAACAGTTCAGGATAACTTTTCTCAAACTTTCATATATATATACATATATATATATATATATATATATATATATATATATATATATATATATATATATATATATATATTATATATATATATATATATATATATATATATATATATATATATATATATGTATATTATATATATATATATATACATATATATATTATATATATATATGTATATATATATATATATATATATATATATATATATACATATATACATATATATATATATATGTATACATATATATATAATATATATATATATATATATATATATATATATATATATATATATATTTATATATATATATATATATAATTTTATTTTAATTCACCTCCTCAAGGCCGAGAAGGCCACTACAGATGAGGAGGCTACTTATTTGTGGCTAAAACCCTCTCTCAACTCTATCACTCCGAAACACGAACCTTGACAAACAAGGTTGCTGCGCGGAGAAACGAGTTGATATATATATATACATATATATATATATATATATATATATATATATATATATATATATATATATATATATATATATATATATATATATATATATATATATATATATATATATGAAAGTTTGAGAAAAGTTTTAAAAAAGTATACTACTGAAAAAAAACATTTTCCTTGGAAAATGTTTTTTTCAGTAGTATACCTTTTTTAAATGATATTCTAAACATAAGTAAAGATTTTCAGAAAGTTACAGGATTACATTATGTATCATAGAGTCACAGCAATTGTTTAATTGCAGTTCATGAATGATCACGATCGGAAGTTGCAATTTATTTGCCAACTTTATGTAGTTATTTTTATGAAAATAAATTGCTAGTGGGTATGAGAAATTGCAGTCATCAATTATTTATTGCTAGAGTATAGCATTTTGAAAATTATTGAATATCTTTTAAACTGTAACAATATTATTACGCAAAAAAAATAATAAAATATGTAAATATAATATTTAACTTATTCAGATGATAAAAATATTTTTGTTACAATTGTTCTTTAAAAAAATCAAAGCAGTATGCATATTGCTTTAAGTCACAATTTTTATTTGCTAAAATAAAAAAAAAATAAAAAATCATGCACAGAAATGAAAATGCCTTATATGTATATATATATATATATATATATATATATATATATATATATATATATATATATATATATATATATATATATATATATTTTTTTTTTTTTTTTTTTTTTTTTTTTTTTTTTCAAAAACTTCTGCACTCAAATATTTTAACTTAAATTGTTAGTAATTAAATTTTGAATAAATTAGTTTGATACTATGATGTAAATCACTTTTAAAAAAAGTTTTTTGAAAAAACTTCAGCTGTGTGTTTACAATAAAAATGAGTTATACAAAATATAATATACAAAATTGAAAATAAATTAAACGTATATACAAAATAGAAAATAAAATTTACTAAATTTTATTTTCTATTTTGTATATAAGTTTTATATTATAAATTATTTTGGCTTGTAATTTTATAATACTTCAAAACCTTTTTAAATAATTTTCGCATTTTTCTAGTAGCTTTTAAACAACTGAAGCATTTTCTCAATACTGAAGTAAGATTTTTCTCTAAGCTCTTTTTCTATAAGTTTATTTAAAACTCCATTACTTAATTACTTTTTTAATGATAACTAAAATTCCAACTTCTTTTACAGGTTTTGAAATCTAAATTGTTTTTCAGACAAGAACATAATTAAATAAATATACAAACCAATAAGAAGGCGTGCTGAGAAAAATATATAAACCAAAAAGACAGCATGCTAAGAAAAATATTGTAATAAAAAATGTTATAAAAGAAACACCTAAAAATTGTTTAAAAAGATTACAAAGTATTAGAAAATTAAATAAATGTAAGTTTTTATTTTGTAATTGCATTTAATTTATTTTTTTTCTATATTATATTTAGTAATACACATTTTTATTATCAACACACATTTAAAGTTTTTCAAAAAACTTTTTAAAAAGCAATTTACTTAATGACATTCTGATTGAAAAATTTCAAATCTACTAGTTAATTAAACTTAGATAAAATTATTTAGAAAAATCACCTGATTGCGATCCTAAAGATTTGCCAACATTTGTTTTCTTTATAAATGGATCTAAAATAAAATTTACTCATTTAAATTTATTTAATTACCTATGAAGCGTATATATATATGTATATATCCCTTACGAAAATGTTCCATGGGTACTCCATGGCATTCTATGAGTAAACCATGGTTTTCCCAGGGTAAACGGAAACTCCATAAAACTTTCATGGGTGAATTTCCATGAAAATTGAAATCCCATGGAATTTGCGTGGGTGAATCATGGTTTTTTTTTATAACTCACGTTGCACCATAGATTTTATAAATGTGCTTTTAAAGATGCCATCATAATTCGTAAAGTTACAATCATTTCTAGATTGAGTAAACAATATTTTTTGCATTCTTCTGTTTTTCTATATTTAATAAAACTATAAATTATATGTTTTTTATAACACATCACATTTAATATGATTCAAACTAAACATATAAACATGAACAACTAGACATATTTGCAATAGCTAGAATATGATAAATGCATTTTATAATGCATCAGAGATGTTGATGATCAGAGATGTTGATCTTGAGACTTAAATCTTGGTCCCAAGAGGTCTCATTTAACTCAGAGACTCATTTAACTGTCTTTTTGTTAGTCTTGGTATTAAATTAAAATGTCTTGGTCTTAGTCTTGGACTATTCTGTCCTTATGCCTCTAGATATTATCATATTATAATGCATTTTAAAATGCATATATTTATTACTTATATATTTAATTATATATTATTTATGCATATACTTATTCTAGCTATTGCCAATAGCTTTGTTTAATTTGTAAAACTTGCAATAGTATAGCAAGTATGTCAAGTGAATCAGTTTGAATTGGTTTAATTGGTAATAAATATTTTATAAACAATAAATATTTACAATAAATATTTTAGTTTTGATGTACATTAGATAACTAGTTTATAAATACACAAGTTATCTAATGTATATTGAAACTAATATAATTATTATTATAAAACTTATCTAATATATTAGATAAGCTTAGATAAGCAGTGCATTGGATAAGATTAGATAACTAATGAACAAAAGATAACTTGAACTATCTTTTTTTAATTTTTTATCTTTAGTTTGCATAAAAATGTTTGAAGTTATAACACTTTATTGTATAGTAAATGTTTATTAAGTATTAAAAAACTTTATTTTATAATAAATATTTTATTCAATTTTGGTACTGTTTTTTTTTTTTGTCTTTTTGTTGACGCGTTGTTTTTGTCTTTTTGTTGACGCGACCATTCAAGTCAGCATTTAGAAACTAGATCTAGTAGGGAAATTTATTATACTTTTTCTTTACTATTAAATAGCAGAATTATGAAAATATGCAAATAATGTAATATTTTGTGTATAAATATTTTAATTTTTGCTTTATTATTTTATTTATATTACATTATATGCCGACAGGTTTGACTGGCAATATAAATAATGTTGTTCATCATTTATATAACTTAACATTGTCAGTTTTTATATGCATTTCGTATTCTTAAAAAAAAGTTCAAAAGCTGTCTAAATAAAATGGTGAATTGAGTTATTGGTATTAATGGTATAATTGAGTTCCCTTTCTGATATATTTAATTTTTTAAAAATATCAGAAAGGAAAGTTAATGTACAGTATTTTACTTCGCAGTTTAATATAAGCATATAAAATCAATGTCTATAAATAATACACTATTATTTATTATAATAAAATTATTTTTATTTGTTTATATTTAACTAATGTGAAGTGCTCATTTTAAGTAAAAATAAGTTAATTTTTAACTTTAATATTTATTATTAATAATTAATTTGTTAAAACTTTAAGTTATTGATTATCAAGATTATATATACTATTTTTATCAAATAGTGAATATAAAATAATAAACATGTAAGTTGTTATATTTTCTGTTTCTATTTTTTCTTAATTATTTTCTTAATCTTCAATTTTAACTGTTTATCACTCTATGTATATCCATTATAGTATGATACTACTTGTAATTTTTTGTTTTATTTATTTTCGGTATGTTTATACATATGCATGCGTTAAATATTGTGTTGAAGTCAATTTTTAATGTTTTAGGTGCATTATAGCTATTATTTTTCAAAGATTTGTAGGATTCAACAAGATTTAAATTTGTTTGATGATTTTATTTGGCAAAAGCAATCCCATTGATTAAAAGAATTCAATAATCTTAGCAATTTGCGTGATAAAATTTGCTTTTTATGGTTTAATATGACAATTCAAGTAACATTAAATCAAAAAAAATTTAAAACAAAACATGCTATTTTACCATGGAAAATCCATGAGTTTTTCTTGAAAAGGTGTTCAAATTACGCATGGAAATTCCATGGTTTTTCCATCTATGGAAAAACCATGGAATTTCCATGGGTATTTAAAACACTTAACCATGAAAAATTCTTTGCTTTCTCATAGAAAACTAATGGGTTTCCCATAGAAAACTCAAGTTTTTCGCATGAAAATTTCTGTACTGGATATATATATATATATATATATATATATATATATATATATATATATATATATATATATATACATATATATATATATATATATATATATATATATATATATATATATATATATATATATATATATATATATATATATATATATATATATATATATATATATATATATATATATATATATATATATATTCATGGGTTTCCCATGAAAATTTCTGTACTGGATATATATATATATATATATATATATATATATACAGCTCAAAACGCATTATGATTTGATTGCAAAAAATTAGTATGATTTTTAAGTATATTTAAATAGAATGATGCTTGCAATTGAATTTAACTCACGTGTGTCACAAACAAAGACAACCTTTATAGAACTATTTATTATAAAAAAATTAGAAAAGATTATAAAACATATTCATGCCATACTTCTACTTAAGCTAAGAATATTTTTTTACTATAAACTGCAATTTATAACTTTTACTTTAAAAATCAAAAATAAAACAAAGATTAAAAAAAGTAAATATGCTACCAAAAATTACTAGATAACTTTCGAAGACATAATTATTTAAAGAAAAAAAGAAAAAAATTTAGAAAAAACTTTCTGAAACACAGTTTGCCACAAATGAGGAAATTATTTTTCATTTTCATTACAGGTATGATTAAAACATTAAACTGATTAAAAATTATCATTCAATATATTCACCAAGTAATTAAATTTCAGTTTGAAAAACAAAATATATAAAATCTAAATTTAATCTTAATAACTCAGGTTTCTGTTAGACAAAAATACTCCCACCAAAACTTTGATTAGTTGTGCTTCCCAAGATAAAATGATATCAGCATGCTCTGAACTAGCAATATGTCCTCAGAACTGTATCCTTTTTGATAAAAAGAAAGCGTGGATCATTAGAGGATATGACAGCGGCATATTTCATGACAAACACATCAGGTTTGCTAAATAATCTATAATTAGAGTTTTTTTACCAAATTTTACTTATGCTTATGTTAGTTTGTTTACATGACTCTTTTTATTCTGTCTCTGATATGAGGCTTAAAATTTTTAAAGCAATTAGAAAAAAGTTAAATAAATATTATATGTTCTAGAAAACTATTAAATGATGTAGTTGATAAATATCAGGGCAACGTTGAAAAAAAAATAATAATAAAAAAGGCAACGCAGCAAAATCAGCTAAAAACATCTTTAAAAAAATGCTAAGAAAGTTTTTTGGATTGGAAAAACTGATACTTGCTCCATTTTGCAGATGAGTAATTTTGACACTTGGTGCAAAGGATTTATAATATTGCTGAAAGCTGAAAAAGATAGTAAAAAGAAGATTGCAATATTTAACATTTATTAAGTAACAAGAGGATTAAACTAAGAAAATTGAGTTTTTATCATCAGAACAAAGTGAGATCTCTTCTTGTCAGGATTCTGACTATTCAGCAGGCAAAATTAAATCAGGTACTAGTGCTTCAAAAGTATCACCTAAAAATTTGCAAAAGAAGTTGAAACTACAGGTGTTTCTAAAAATATTTCACCTAGAAATATGATGCTTTTTGACATATTACTTAACCACAGTTACTTCTGGGGTCAGTTTGACAGATTTTTTGCTTTCTGAATTTACTTTCAGACGTGCAAAAAAGAAAGCAATAAGTACAAGTGCAGCTAATTATCGAGAAGATATAATAAAAGCTGCAAGTCAAAGTAAATTTCCAATAATCGCACACTATGATGGAAAAATCTTGCAAAACAAAAAAAAGATTGTTTTGCTGTTTTCGTAAATTATCGATGTTGATTTAAGACTTCTTGGCATTCCCCCTATAGAAAACAGAGCTGGAAAATCTCATCATGATACTTTAATAAACATTTTTGATGAATATAAGCTAAGAACTTATAAAAGGGACTGTAGTTTGACACAACTGCAACTAATACAGAAAAATATTCCGGCACAAACATTATGTTTTGTCAAACACAGGGTTCAATTATATTACAGCTTGCATGTCGAATACATGTTTACAAGCTTCACTGAAAACATTTTAGGTAAAAAGTTCACATTGGTAAAACTTATGCTCCTGAAAATCTGGTGTTTAAAGTTTTCCAATCGAATTGGAACGCAACCAAGGAAACTATGGATAAATCAAAGTTCAAAAAGTTTGACAAAGCTGCAGTTAAAGGAACGTATCTAGAAAAACAGATTGAAAATACTGTTCAATTTTGAAATATGCACTTGCCAATTTAGTATTTCCAAGAGGTGATTATAAAGAACTAGTACAACTTACACTCACCTACTTATGTCCAGATGTAAGCTTTAATGTTTATGCTCCCAGATCAGTTTCCCATGCTTGTTTTATGCCAAAGTCTATATATTATCTTAAAATTCAAGTTTTAAGTAATCATTTACCCTACCATTGAAAGATTGTTTACAAAAAAATGTCAGTAAAATGGCAGAGTTTATTTATATATTTTTTACTGTGTGGTTTGTGCTCCTCCTTAGTTTCCTCGAATGTATTGTCGAATATAAACGACTGCTCTGAACAAGCAATTA